TGAGTTGGGCGGTCACGTCTTTTAATATATTTCGCCCACTCGGCATCTGTCTCCATGTCTGATTTATACTGGCATTCGTAAGCGTCCTCGTATTTGAATGGTTCTTCTTTTGGGCCCATGAATGGAATATAATGTTTGAAAGATTGCCAGCCAGACTCCTCGGTGGCAGACGCGCATTCCGAAGTGCCATGCGGTTCTGGAAATGCAAACCCGCCCTGAGGCGCTTTCCAGAACTGCCAGAACCTTGGCTTTGCATTCAAGTATAAGTCGTCAACGTTGTCAACTTTGCGGACAGAATTTTCCATGCCGTAGCGGTGCCCGGCGCCGTGGGGTGGTTTGATGGCTCTAGACGAACTGGATGTGAGTACTGATCCGTCCAGAGAGCTAGTTCGTGGAGCCTCCAACGACTCTGCCGGAGCCGGAGAAGGAACTCTTTGGTGGGCATGTTCCATGGCAGAGTTCAGATCCATGAACCCGTTTTTCGTGTCCAGTACATCGTTGACACCTCGTCCCGCCTTGCCAGCAACTCCCTTCAGGCCAGCCCCGACATGATGCAGCGGGTTGTGGTGGATCTCGGGCCCCCTAGTGGAATCCTGCAAGGAGGTCTTCTCTTGATCGTGAAGCATAGACTCGCGAATGCCGGCATCGACAGTATGGGGGACGACTTGGTCGTGTCCAGCATCTGTGCCTTCTTCGGTACGAGCTAAACGATTAGCTTCAGCGTCCTCTTCTGCATCTCTAGCAGCTCTCTCTCCTCTAGTCAAGGCTTTTAGATTCAGCTTCCTACGCCTCTTCTTGTCTTCAGCATTTCTCTGCTTCAGTTGTGCCTTTTTGACTGCTTTGATGAGATCTGTCTCGGCAGATTCCAATTGCTTATGAACATTATCCCTGAGGGAGATCTTGTCAAGGAGGGTGGTCAGGTCTCTGTTGATCCAAAGGTTTCTAATGCCCCCCGGCAACACGTCGAACAAGCCTAATAAAGCTTCCTCGGTTAACCATTTTTTCGGAATGCCACTGACAAGAACAGTGGTAGCGGAGGCTCGAAGACGGTGCTCGGGGCTGGCCAGATAATCTTGGCGGATTTTGATGTAAACCCGAAGCTCGAGGAAAAAGACTGTGCAGACCCATATCACCACAAGAATGGCCAGTATAAGATGAGCTGCGTATCGGCTTGTATTTTGCGGAGTGACGTTTCCCCATGCCAATGTGTCGAGACCAGTCGGAACAGCCTTGCTACTGGAGGAATTCCTGGCACTATCTCTGATATCGATTTCTTGACCCAAGCCACCGACGTAATTAATGGGTATCAAAATGGGTAGTACGACAAAGCATATTGGTACGAAAATGACGAGAAGCGTTTTCAGATAGCGAAGAAAAAAATAGGCGTCCAGGCCGCATTTCTTGATGACCTCGCGTTCGTCGTACGTAATCAGTGCTCGAATCATGGATACCAGGGTTCCTGGCGGCGGCTCGGTTCTCTCACGCTCGGGAACGAGGTAAGTCTTTGGCTTGCTGATTTGTTCATGTTCGAATTAATAAACTGAACCGCCAATATTATGGGGGAATGGGAACACAACATACAATATTCTCGCTAGCCTATTTCGTAACAATGCAAACAAGGAAAATTGTGCCGCAAAGATAGCCACAGCTGTTCCAATAGCAGTTAGGAAACTGACTATACCAAGTCCTTGCTGTTGCTGGGGCTTGGAGTTCTCATCCCGAGTAAAGATTGCCACGGGTTGCGACAGAGCGGAGATTGCTTCGGCCAAGGAGCTGGATGGCCAGAAGCTTGACCTAGCATCCACGCTTGCAAGTATATGTGAAGCCATGGGGGAAGACTGATCTGGTTCGGTAGAATGTCGTCGTGAGCAAGGTAAGTAGTCTCATGTCCCTACAGCCTGGCGGGCAAAGAATAGGGTCAACCCCCCAGGCCAGGTGGGTGGATGATGGAGACGGACGGCTAAATAAATGGGGGACAAGTCGAAAGTGATGACTGGAACATAATTTGTGCAAATGAGATAGGTTGGTGGTTGAAGACGTAGAATACAAAGAAACATCTGCAGGGTCACTGGGACAAAAGGGTAAAAGAGCACAACGGAGCGACAGTGAATATTAAACCGGCCTGCCGGCATAAAGAGGGACGAAGGAGTAGTGCGTCATGAACTTGTCTCAAAGTTGGCACACAAACACCAATCGACCGATTTAGGCAAAGGAAGGACCTGGGCTAATGCAAGGAGTGACATCAGAGGCGACTAGCGGGACGGCAAGAGCTACCCACAGACGGGTCAACTGGTGTCTGGTGCACAGCTGGGCAGGTACCACAGGTCAACGATGCTGTAATAGTACTTCAGGCCACAGGCGGTACCTTGGCAAGCTGGGCGACTGGAAGCGCCACTGCTGGTCTGGTAGCCAATCACAGTCGTTCAATGCAGCCCGCGGTGGCACTGAGCAACTGCTCTGGTGTCGGCTCGCCCTGCAAACTCTTCGTCAAGCCGCAGCCACTACTACAACATTGAACCTGTTGACATGTGGCATCAATCCTGTTTTTGCATCGCGCATGGGTGTGCGTGCACAGCCTTTGTTGCAGAATGTGCTGCAGTAAATTACCGATCGTCGAGCCCATCCCTGCGCACCTGGCCCATCCGAACCAAAAAAGATGGATCCTTGGCCCAGTTTGCCAGCCAACAGCCAATATCGAACAGTGAATATCCGCCGGCGACTGTTGGCTCCAGGTTCGTCCTTGGCGGGAACCCAAGCGCTCGTCCTGAACTCAAACAAGGGATGACTGGCGGCAAGCGAAACTAAATAAACCTCCATAGCCCCGCGAATCCATTCATTCATGGGAGGGTCACGACAAAGCGCAACGTGAACACGTTCCCCGAAGCCCCAGTGGAGGGTGCGCGGATGGCCGTGATGATGACGTTTTTAATGTACATGCCACGGCGCTGAGACATCGTCGTGGCCAAAACTTGATTCAAACACATACCGGCCAAGTCAGCCCTACCACGCCTAGCATCAAATGCCCAGCGTTGCCAACTCACCACATGTGCAAGTTCTGCGTGGGACTCCAATCATGTACGTAGCACAGTCCTCGCCGTGATGCGGCCACAAATCGTACCTTTGCGGACATGCCGCTTCCATCAGGGGATTTCATGGTGCACATAGGCAATACGAATGGATGCTTGCATTTGTGCCGGCCTCAAGGTAGCACATTTCGCGTCCCTTTAAACGAGTTTTAGACAAAAGATGTCTGGTCATTTCCATGTCCAAGTATGATGTGCTGCAATAGGGTCACGTAGTAAATCCCACGTATGTGCGCTCATCATCGGTTACTTTCAAAGTGAAGAACCCAACAGTTCCACTGAAATCAAGTCCCTGTAAAATGGATATGATCCTATGTATGTAGTTCCTGGACATGTTTGGACATGTTTTGCAAATTCCGTGTAGTTGTAACGCTATGACTCAGAGTGATCCGTAGCCAGTTCTTCAGTCTCATCCATGGAGACATTATTTCACGATCGCTGCTTGTAAACCTTCTGATGTATATGATTCGATATCAGGTTGCACAGCCTGGAGCGGCGTCTTACAACATTCATCCTTGACTGCAGATTTCATTCACGCAAACTGCCTCTGCAACCTCCAGAGCAGTGAGTTTTGCAGTGACATAACTTTGAGCCGAGCGAGACTAAACGAAGCTCGTGGCTTGAAATGTATGAGCCTGGTCTCGGGCTATGGGAGCGATGCTGAAGCAGTGCTGGATGTTCGTTTTTGGTCATCAGGGATGAAGCCAAGTCGCCAAAGCATAAATAAGCGACATTTTGACCACCTACAGGTCACGTGCGGCCTCAATAACCCAGATCGACCTCATACGCTTCTACTGGAAGGTAGCTATATGTGCGCTCAAAAGCTTCCGTGGCATTGGACAGCTACCATGTCCTGCAGAGAGTTCGAGAACCCAATACCAGCCGTCGCACAATCGCAAAGGTAGTACAACTATCGCTTATCGACTCTGCATACCAGCACGCAAAATCTTGGTGTGACGACGCATCTTGTCCGCCCGTTTCTCCTACTATTCACAACGGGAGCCGTCTCTTCTCTCGGTGTCAAAGAAGAGGCCGGCCACCTCATCTGCCATGTCCTGTAAATACCATGCTCATCTATACTGAAGAGCCTGGGCAATGAGATACATAGTAGATACATCAAGTCAGTATATACAGAAGATCGGTCGACCTGCAAGAGTCTACTGCAGTTGCAACACGCGACATTCAGGCCCCTTTGTTGTTGCAAACGGCAACAATCAAATACTAACCAAGCGCACAGATACTCAGTACAATGATGCATAGACCCTTATGCTTCGTGCGACAAAGAAATTCCCTGAGAACGCCTGTCCCTACCAAGCAAGCGAGTTACTACTAGTATTGCCCGCCCTGTGCTTGAGAGCTCGAGGCGAGAGATCCAGCACACCTTGCTCGCACTACTCGTCAGTGCACACGACGAAAACGAGTCACGGGACGTCTACCGTAGGTTGCAAAAGATAAGTAGGTATATCAAAGGTAAAAGATAATTCACGTCTGCAAAGCTGCGCAGGAATGCGCAAAAATGCATTTGCTAATAATTCGTACGACGACAAACCAAACGATGCCTCGACGGTGCGCTCTATGCCCAACACCAACGCCAATAAAAAAATAATGTGCGTACCAATATCCAGCGCTCCTCCTTGCAGGTCAGGTCCCGTTGCTACACTCCAAAAACCATGTATACCACGCACCACAATCAGCATCACGTTTGAATGCCTTCAAACGATCAGCTCGGCAGATCAGCAGGTTAGGCTGCAAGTAGACCTCCCGACAGGTAATAAAGGAGCGATTATGATCCCAGGTCCTTTCTTCCTTTTTGGCAAATTTTCTCTAGTGTACTCGCAATTGCGAGACCGCAAAGCCCGGTATTCGGCTGAAAACTCCCCTTTTCTCTTTCGCTCGGCCATGTGAGCAACGTGTCGGTTAGAAAAGGCAGTCCAGGCAGCAGCAGCATGCCAACCCTGCTAATAAACCAGTCATGATACCAGACGATTTGTCTTGTCTTTGTTGAGGCTGATAGGTCTGATAGGGTTGGTAACCCGGCTGGAACTGTCCCTGTGGGGGTCCATATTGTCCAGGGGGGTACTGTCCTTGCTGTTGATTGTAATAGCCCATCTGAGGACCGGGTTGGTAGTATGGCTGCTGCTGCTGCTGTTGTTGTTGATAATATGGCTGCTGGTAGCCGCGCTGCTGATCATCTGGGAATGGCGCAGGACCGCCGCCGTAGGAAGGCTTCGGGGCCACGGGTGGAGGAGCACCGCCATACGGGGGAGGCTCTTCGACCTTGCTGCTCATGTCGATGGTATTCAATGACTGTCGCAATGGAGGGGTTCGAGTGCAGGTTTCGGGGGCGATTATCGGTAGGTTGGGTACAGAGGAATTGTTATTTCAGAGCGGCGAGAGAAAAAAAAAAAAGGGATGTTGAGTGAGGAGAACGTGGCAGGCCCAACAGGTGGCACATAGCTGGTCGCCAAGAAGGCCGAGCCTCGAATTTATTCGAGGTGGTCGAAACTCTGGGCGTGTCACAGGACGAACCAGACCGGACTCTACGCCACACGGGGCTTTCGGTAGTGTCTCTCTGAGATTACGCGTGCGGCTTCCTGATTACGTGGTAGCGCAACGTCTTGAGCTGCGCCGCTCTTGGCCAAGCTTGGGCTCTTGGCTGGTAAACAACAGGCAAGCAGGCGACGAGGGTGGCAATTAACTCTCCCGCCTCGCGACGATGGTGACCCGAGCCAATGCCACTATTGTCCGAGGAGAACATAGCAGATCGACGAGATGGTCTGTTTATCCGTTGGGTCCGTAGCTGCCGATAATGTGGCAGCTCGTGAAACCCCGGATAGTCGGTCCCCACTCGGTACATGGGCATACTACTAAGTACTAGTATTAAATGAACATGTCTTAATGTACTACTCCCTGCCTTGCTTTCTTTGAAGCACCCATGATTTCTGGCATACGGAGTATTTCTTAGTACTAGTTTATGTTGGTGATAATCTAGTACAATTGTACATGTTTCTCTCGCAATTTTCCATTTTAGTGACCAGAATCAAAAGTCTGTCTTTCGCCCTCCTTGCCTTCCTTTCACTACTCCACGAATAAGAGTACAGTGAGCATTAGTAATAAATCAGAAGTGCATTGTCTGCAATGTGTCCTAAACCGACGTTGTCAACAACCCAGATGGGTCCAGGGTAGCTAGCTAGATGAGCATACGTCACGTGCCATGACACAAGCCACACATGCTGTGGCTTGACTTCTCGCCCCACGACGACCAACAGTCATCGCACGAAAAAGTGTTAAATTCGTCGATATCCAAGAAACCCCACGATCGCAACGACCAGCCCCAAAGCGCGAAATTACACCCATAATTTGCCTGAACCACGATTACGACGCAGGGGAGGCATATAGAAAATTCGAAAATCGCAACCATGGCTACGACGGCACCCCCGAAGGCCAAGTGAGTAACCCTGAAGAGAAGCATCGCCAGCCTGGTTTCGCATAGCTAACCCCACCCTCAAAATAGGCATGACTGGGCCGACGACGACGATGTCGAAGAGACCACCGATCTCCCTCCCCCCCAGACCATTTCCAACAAGGACGGAACCAAGACCATCATCACATTCCGATACAATGACCAGGGCCAGAAAGTAAAGACGACCCGTCGAGTTCGCTATGTTACGCACAAGGAGACGGTCAACCCCCGCGTCGCCGACAGAAAGAACTGGTCCAAGTTCGGCCTCAGCCAAAAGGACGGCGCTGGCCCTGCACCCGATACCACATCGGTCGGCGAGAATATCATCTTCCGACCCAGCATCAACTGGCGCAAGGATGCCAAGGACGAGAGCCAGGACCCCAACGCGCAGTCGATGAAGGACAAGCTCAAGGACAAGAAGGTCAAGTGCCGTATTTGCAACGGCGAACATTTCACGGCCAGATGTCCCTACAAGGATACCATGGCGCCCATCGGAGAGAATGGCGCTGCAGATGTTGCTGCCGGCATGGGCGACGAGCCTGCGCCTACTGGTGCCGGAGGTGCTGCCAAGAAGGGCTCCTATGTTCCTCCTGCTCTGCGTGGCGATCGTGCCGGAGCGGCTGGCGAGCGCATGGGAGGGTCCAAGTACGGCGAGAGAGACGACTTTGCTACGCTTCGCGTCACCAACGTAAGTGTCGTCCTGCAATTCTTGTACACGCGCCGCCTAACTAACTCTTTCAACAGGTTTCCGAGATGGCAGAGGAGTCAGAGTTACGGGATATGTTCGAGCGATTTGGAAGAGTCACCAGAGTGTTCCTTGCTAAGGACAGGGAAACTGGCATGGCTAAGGGGTTCGCTTTTATCAGTTTCGCGGACCGTGGAGATGCCGTCAAGGCATGCAGCAAGATGGATGGATTTGGTTTCAAGCATCTTATTCTCAGAGTCGAGTTTGCTAAGAAGGCTCAGTAGACTGTTTCTGTTGTCATAGGGTATTAGGGATCCGGGGTTAATGCATTTACATTACGATTTTCTTTCTTTCTTTTTGTTCTTTTTATTCACCATCCAGCCAGGCCTGACACATCACTCACTTTCCCGTGCATGCCTATTACGACTGAGATGGATTTTTTTTACGCAATGTCTGGTCTTGCGGTGTGCTCGGCAAGTAAGTCCCTGGACCGTCGGGAAGCTGGAACTGAACCTTGAAGCCATGTGGTTTAGGACTGACGTCCGGACGAACGAGGGGCAATAATTGGTTCTCGTTGATCGAGAAGGACGGGATTCTTCATGTGGAGGAGGTTCCGAGGCCAGGGAAAGATCGGCGGATGGCCTGGTGACCATAGTTACGGTATGATAGTATAATGCTGAACACATGTCCCTATCCCATTGGAGTTTCTCTGAAAAATGAAACAAGGCTGCAAAGCTCTGCCGCATTGCAAACAGAAATTCCTCCCTCTTCTGGGAAGCTCTGTTCGGCCCCGCACCGGTAAACCAGGCGACGAGTGGGGGAACTGGCCGAGTTTCGTGTTTTGCTCGACGGAAGCATTCAACGTTTGCTGCAAGCAACTTCGGTAGCCTTGAATGTTCTTTGGTTGACCAGTCTGCTCAAGGAATTACATAGATGTGAGTGGGCTCTTTTGGCTTGGGCTGTTTGAGTGATGTAGCAATGAGTGGAAGTCATTGGCTGTGCTAACAGGGCGTCGACGCTCCGCTTGCGTTGTTACTTGGGCTGCGTTTGTAAACAAGAAAACTTGAAGTGGAAAGACAATCGGCAAATGGCGCACGGAGCAGTAGCACCGTATGTACAATCTATTGGTGTAGTGCGGAGCGTGCAGGGGAGAAGGCGCTGATGGGATTCTAGATCATGACAAAAATAGGCTAGTGCTGGGGGCAATTTAAAAAATTGATCTCCCAAGTAGTGAACAGCCAGGGCATTTTTGTTGAGCTTGACACCTCGCCTTTTTGGCTTGTGAAGATGGACTTGGGCTGTCGACATCTCATGCAGGCGGGGAAACACGACGTCGCATGCCTTCCGTCGCGGATTGTGCGAGCCTATCAGCCCGTGTGGCCTTTCATCCGGGTCCATGTCGTCTGTACTGAGAACAGAGAACAGAGAACAATACACGAGTTGACCTGACTGAGGATAAATCTGGTGCTACTTTAGATATATGTATGTAAAGTACTTAAGTATGTACCCGGTAGTTTTCTAAAGCAGCTGCATTATTTATGCTCCAGGAGTGCCGTGACGGAAAAGTACGGTACACTCGAGCATGGAAGGTGCGGGCTGCTAATGCTGTGGCACGCCTTCCGTCCAATGAGCCCTTCTTCAACCCCTTCAGACCCCCCAACAACTCCGAGTTGCATTGCATGTGCTCCATACTCTCGCAACCTTCGAAACCCATGTCCTACAGAGCGAGTATTGCTAGCCACATGGCTGTCCGCACATGAAAGCAAAGTCGCCCGTCTTCTGACATCACCCGTCCACGGAGCACAGGCGTATTATCGATCTTGCGCCGAAGTGTGCGTTAATTGCCGGCCCCTGCAGCCGTTACTGGCCTGATTTGACGGCATCGCCTGCACCGCATATTCGCCTTGCATCTTCACAAGGACTCATGACACCTTGTGCCGAAGCCAAACGAACACTTCCCGCGATAACCTGGCCCATTCTTTGTGCCAGAGTGGAGGCTGCAGCGGCCATCAGCCTCTCCGCTGCGTTTGAACCTATGCCCACGCGAGCAGCTTCCCTAGCGTTCCAGTCCGACTACTTTAGTAGTAATCCGAGACCCTGCGACTATATCCAAAGAGGGCAATTGGAATTCGTCTACTCGGTGGGATAGCGTAGCATAGCCAACACGTCGAGAGTCCCTTGGGCCGCGAGCCCACATTTATCCATCACGCCTCCTACAACTCCCTCGTTCTTCGTGCCTCTCCGCAGCTTCCTGTTTCTTTCACCTCCCTTTCCTCCGGGGCAAGCTTTCTCATGCTTCATGGATAATCCTTCTCGGTGCTCATTGCAGACATGAGTAAAAGCACTGGTGTCGACGCTGAAGCGTCTGAGCTCCGTCAACGGCAGACGAGAGATTCTTCCATTGTTGCCAACCAACCACATGCTGTCGCCGTGGAAAGCCCGTCTACTGAAGACGGCCCGGACCATGACAAGCCCAAGTCAAATTCAAAGACATTTGGGCGAACCCCGGATGGCACAGGTAAGTGACCATTAACCATCGTCGTTGAGACCAATTGGCCTCTCGGTCAGCGCAGATTCCAACTAACCTGTTGTTCTGTCTGGCAGTCTTCATTGTGCCAACTACCCATGATATGGTATCGCAGCTTCTGGACCCACGGCAACCCAAGAACCTGTCTGATGCCGTTGTCCTCGGGATACTGGCGTTTATGATTCTAGTCGCTTATTCCCTACCGGCCGGATGGAAGCGACCCGTCTTCGCCGTCACCTTCTTATTCTGGAGAGGCTGTTACAACGTAGGAATCGGTGTGTTATTACATATTCAGTCCCGCCACCGACGTCTGATAACTTGGGCCAAACGCTGGAAGCTCTTTGAAGATCCCAAAACGGGCAACAACCCTCGACCTTGGCTCTACAACCTCCTCAAGCGAGAACTCGAAGCAAAAATACCGGAAGACTACGAATTCGAAAAGGCACCTTTGGAGTACAACACATGGTTAGTCTTCCGGCGGGTTGTTGACTTGATCTTGATGTGTGATTTTGTGTCATATTGCCTATTTGCTATCGTCTGTGGTCACACCCCGGAAGGGGAGAATATTATTGTTGGTGCTGCTCGCTGGGCCCTGGGTATGGCCTTGGTTGGAT